AATCCAGTGTCTGGCAAATGGTGGTGTGTATGGACCGAATTAAAATGAGCTTCACTGGTTTTGTAACTTATGATCATGTTGTCGTGATTTGTATAGTGTTAAACACCGCAGTCACGTAGCGGGCACTCAAGGAAGGACATTTACTTGTGCAAAGTCATTTATGATATCAGTCTTGTATCTACAATCCCGATGTGACGATTGTAATTCTATATAGAGATGTGGTAATTGACAACGCTGCCAAATATTCACATAGGTCATATATATAAATTTGCGTCATTCACAATAAAATATATTCACTTAGCGTGGCTATACTTACTTTACTAGTACTAAAACTAATGTCATGTGAAATTATAACGACACCAATCCTGGTCGATAAATGCATCGTATCTATGACGTCACGAAGCAATTTGTTTACCGAAATGTCACTATCTGCATCCTATGACCTAATTAGACACATTCGGCACGTTCAAGCTCCCACTAGTGTTACAGTACGGCTCATACCACAAGGATCATTCTTTTGTGTAAACGATCCATTATGCAGGAGGGGTAGATAAAAGACAAACTATATCTGGTAATACTATCTTTGATAATATATTTATTTCTGCCCCCTCTGCTCATACAAATAATTGGTCTCAATTTACGTTTGATTGAATAGTGGACTCGGTGAAAAATTACTTTAGGGGCGAAATCTGCAATCGATAATCATACTTGAACTAAAATATATCCTTTTCTCAGCGAATCTTAAAAAGGCCACGGGTTCTAAATTTAAAAGCGTCTCAGAGGTCTGTTAATTTATATTACCGGGGTTATTATGTATACGTTTATCTAGAACTCGGTGATTAAGGTGTGTTTCAAAGTTCCTATGTACACACTTATCTAATCATATTTAGTGTATAGATACATACTAGTACACTAACACTGAAATACACTGTAATAAACTGGCATCATTTCGTCTCAGTCTTATTGTATATGCTGTCCGAATATATTTACTCAGCCCCCTCCATTGTCCGATGTAGGTATTCATTGACGTGACTATTTACTTGGTGGTGTGGCGGAATGCAACTCATCTTCTAATGAAACATTACAAATATTCGTTATAATAGAGGGAGTTTAGGCCCCTGTTAATCGGAAATACGACTAAATCGTTGTTCTGTGTAATATGTAGCAAACCATTATAACACGCTCTAAATATTGTGACAATTATAAGCATAGTGGAGTAAACACAAATGAACAATACCACGCGCTGAAACAATTATCAGTCCGATTAAACTGGGCAGTATTCGGGGATATTTCACGGACGCACGAGAAAGATTGCATGTGAACCAGCAATATTTAATGTTTTCAATTTCATCTCATGCGTACCACTGCACATAGCGTTCTCAATATTTCGACATTTAGAGATATTACAATTGAAATAAAGAACCCCACACTGTTCATTATTACGTGATAGCAGGCCCGGACAATGATGTTCGCTTAAATAGAGGACTCGACTCGTATTTTATGTATGACAAATTTCATTATAACACATCGCTCGTTAATACTGACTGTAATTGGTACTGATATCGATGGTCCGCCTCGAAAGACTGGACGATTTAGCTTCAGTTCAGAAAAAGAACATGACACACTAGTAGAAAATAAAGATGCACCGAAGACGAAGGACGCAATCAGCTTTTCTAGAAGCGTCTTTATATCGTTTTGTGGAGAAATCGGGACACCGCTAGCAGACATCGAGAAGAAGACGGCAGATGATCTATACACGTTCCTAGTATGAACGTGTAATGTGTTATAAAACACACATTGCATGGCCACGAGGGCACTAGTATACGTCTGTTTTCCCCTCGGGGTTGTGGGGTAGTGCCCTCATTGCCATGCAATATGTGCTTAATGGACCATACCGTGTTCTAACACGTTTCCAACATTTAAATGATACTTGGTGCCTCATTAGACTGTTTATACGATGTGTGTTGAAAAATGTTTATTTCCATGTGCAATATCTATTTGCCAGACTCACACCAACAAAAATAAGACCGCGCGCATACACATAGGGTAAATGTGTTACGTGCTGAAAGTCACAGCCTCGTTTCTGTAGGTCACAACAAGTCCACGTCATCAAACTGACATTTTGTATAGACTAGGTTAGTAAACAAGCGTCAACCGGACAAAGCAAAGAATGCAAGTTCAATCCATTCAAGTTACTTTCTCTTGTTTTCAAGTTCTTGTTATGTTTCTTTTATGCATTGTGAACGCACTTAACTGAGCAGACATTGCATTCCAGCGTTGTTATATATCATTTATGAACAGAAGTGATATTTGGATATTTGACAAATGCGGGGAGGGGTTACCTGCTCGTATACTCATATTGAAAATCAGCATACGTTATTAGAGTTTTTCCCGGTGTATCATCCAGACACAACAACTTAGTTGCCTCCATTGACATAAGCAAGTTAACAACTTCGGTAACCACGATGTTACACAGAATATTATCTGTAACATATTTGCAAGATATAAGATTATCAGGAACATCGACATTTTACAAAACAGACTGAAAATATATATTTCACTAGAAGTATCCGCAGTTATGCTGTTTAGAGTAATAGTAGTGAATAGTGGTAAAGAGCAGTCAGACATTACAAGATGGTGGACAAACTTTAATATACCCATAATATGATGACATCACAGATATTGCGTAATGAAAGCCTCGATCACAAAATAATGTTACAAGCTTGTATTAGTTGTAATGGCTTGTGTATATATACATATATATGCGATCACGACAACTACTACATTGTACACATGACCAGAAACGTTTGCAGATAACTGCAATTCACCCCAAATTAGTTTTCGTCTGAAGGATGTTTCGAACAAATAACTTCGTGCATGACTTCAGAGATTATGCATACTTTCACGTTTCAGTGGAATTCTGTATGCAGTGGACGCACAAATACAATTATACATGACTTGTCATCCGTAGAACCATTGAATGGCACTGCCTACTACA